CACGATATTCTAATTATTCGAGTTTCACCTGTATGTTACCTGACCTAAAAAGAGCCAGCTTGTTGACTGATGGTTAGGCAACCAGTCTAAACCTAACTTTAAACAAATTTTTAAAGATGCAAACTGGTCTTTCAAGACGAGTGCTTGAACTTTGCAGTGTTTAGATTGCCCAATTTAGAAAGAATCCCACAAATGATATGTTTCTCATCTGTCACTGGTTTTCATCTGGAAAAGTAAGTAGCACAACATATCTTCTAAAGTCAAACTTGATTCTGACATGAGCCAACATGGTTTCTTATTTGGCAGCTTTAAATGATTGTTTATGATTGCTTGTGGGTTTTATAGCCTCATTACTCATATAGTTTTGACATAGGATTTTGTGATCCTATGTCAAAACGTGGTAAGATTGTTTCATTCGTTCTTAATCCTTGCACTATGGCAAACATACTACTGGTGGACTTCATCTGAATGGTCCACAGACAGGAGATATAGGAACAATAATGTATTTTCATGTTGTTTCTGTACACATAAACCCTCACAGAACAATAGAATGCATGTGTATATGATTATGGACAATCTTTTTTGTGTGAAGGCAAACATGTCATGAGAAACATGGAGGTCGCCCTTGCTGACCTTTACTACTTCTGAAAAGGCTAGTTGCTTGGCCATCATGCTGATTCTCTAGAGTCAAAGCATCAACTTACTGGCCTGATAAAAGTTTCAGACAAGGATTTCTGCCATTCTTGATCTGCATATTCGTTCCATTCCAGTGATTTAAAGTGTTGAAAACAGGTATTCAAGAGAACAACTAGTTAGCTAGCAATTTCAGAAGTAGGTTGGCTATAACCGCCATAACCACTCTTGTGGGACCCTATTAGTAATGGATCAGCTTTCAAACTCACTGAGTTATTCCAAGAATGCTGGTTGTCAGGTACAGAAATCCTGCTACTGTACCAGTTTTTTTCACTTAAATGATCAAGATATTGAGGCTTATATAGAAAGCAACTACCGATATTTGCACTGCCAGATACTATAAAAACATAGTAGGAGTTGCTGTAAGTGAAAAGTGTTGTCTTATTGCAAATGTTCGACATTTGGAGAGACAGACTTATTTTGGGAACCAAATCCTTCTGTCCCTATTTCCTTCTCAAATGTCCCTTTTTTGGGTCTAATATGCTTTTTAACTGCCAGAAGTGTTTATATTCCACTAAACTTTTTTTTTTTACAATCTTCAAGTAATTGCAAATTCTAGTAAAAGCAAAATAAGTGATAATCCCAGTTAGTGCATCAAAGTTCATATTATTGCAAGCGTGTGAAGCATGTGTCCTATGCGTGTTCTTAAAGCCAAATAGAATCCTTAGTTTAAATGAGCTAAATACATTTCAGGTGCATCAAAACACAAGGGGGGGGGGTTATCAAAACTGGAGCATACAGAATCTGGAGCAGTTGGCCAGGGCAACCAATCAGCTTCTCTCTTCAGTTTGTTCAGTTAAGATTTTAAAACGAAAGAGTGAAATTGATTGGTTGCCGTGAACAGCTGCTTCAGATTTTGTCTGCTCCAGTTTTGATAAATCCCCCTCACAATGTTCAGTGTCTTACAGTTAAATTTCTATTTAAAGCAGCAACAGCCTAAGTAGAAAAGCCTGTGCCCCTGTCAGCAGCTGTAGTGTGGGACCCTTGCACTCTGTGATGAAGCAGTGTTCTTTCTGCAGAGGTCCAACATGTCCCCTACTGAGTCAGACCTACAGCTCTCCTATGTGCATAGCTTATACTTCCCAGTGAGAAGAGAGCTCTGGATCTAACTCAGCAAAGGCGTGCTTGTTGGACTTTTGTAAAGAAATCACTACTTTCCCACAGAGAGCAAGGGGTTCACTCTAAAGCATGGGAGGGGACAAACTTTTCTCCTCAGACTGTGGCTGATTGTTTTCTTTAAAAAAAAAAAAAACTTTGCACACCTAACCAATCAGGAAGCTGGGTGGCACATCATGACCCGCCTCCTAGCTTCCTGATTGGGTAGGAAGCCAGCTTCATTGTTTGTAGGCAGCATGGCTTCCTGACCAATCAGGAAGCCGGACGGCATCTCATGACTCGCAGCCCGGATTCCTGATTGGTCAGGAAGCCAGGCAGCCTCTGAAGCCGGTGTTCTTTCGCTAGGACACTGGCTTTACAGGCAATCAGGAAGCCGTGCAACAGGTCATGATCCGCCACCTGACTTCCTGATAATCGGGGCAGAATGCACTGGCACTCGGTAGTCGGTATCGGAGAGTACTGAAAAGAAATATCGGTACTCTTACTCAATACCGGAAAAACCGGTATTGCTGCATCACTAGTGTATACATTTACTGAATAGTGGAAATGTATCAAGGGAAACAGTCTGTGCTAAAGTGTAATTCCACTCCTATGTTGAAGAAAAAATGAATCCTCTCTGGGTGGTCGCTGTACATTACAAGGATTTTAACAAACTGTGTTGCAGCTTCCTACCTGTTTATGTTCTGAAACAATAGCAGTTTGTTGTAGCATGTCCTTTCCAAACTGATTCTTGAATGGGAAGGTAAGGGTTCATTATAATCATCTGCTGGGTTTCCTGTTTTGTAATAGGGAAAGGAGCAGTGTCAGCATCCCTTTAGCAGTAATTAGCCCTTAGGGAGTATCTCACCAAAAATTAAATTCCTATTGCAAGGGATGCCAAAAATTATACATTTATCTTTCTGGGAAAAGCAGTTAGCCAATCACAGAAGCAGGAGGTGACACCTCTTGGGCATTCCAGTACACCAACTGTGTATGGAACACCTTCAGGTTGCCAGATTGCATTACATTTTTGGACAGATTTAGAGCATTACAGCAGCTACAGTTTTAAATGGAAAGGTAATTTTGAATAACATTAAATTACAAAATGGCTTCTGATACAATTTATATATGCTATATATTTTTTTTAATATAATGTTTCAGTTTTATATAGTTTTTTTAGAATTTGTTTATTATCTGGGCAAGTATAGAATACACATAGTACATTTTTATATTTTTAAAGTGGAGTCACCCTTCAAGTCTGTCTGTAAGGCAGAGGAGGAAAAGTGGGTTCAGTTGGACATAAGAAATTTGTCAGTTTGAGGCATGTTTGAAGTATTAAATGTTCCTCTAATGGTTTATCAGTCTGAACTTCTTTCTACCTATTTACCAGAGATGCCTTCCATTTACAAGCGACAGCTGTCACCTGTTCAAGTTAATGATCGGGTGACAGCGGCTGCATTTGAAAATGGCAGAACGCTGACACACCGCATGTAAAAAATGCGATTTCCTTGCAAAATCACACGTTCCTGCCGCAGGAATTCCTAATCGCACCTACATGGTAGGTGTGAATGAGCCCTTATATGTAAAAGTAGAAGCTGTCCCTCCAATGGTGCATAGCTGGGAGCTACAGCTGCTTGGGGGCAGATTGGATAGTATGTAATCCTTTCACATGTAATTCTACAGCAATGTCTCTATCCCAGCCACAAACCTATTGAACGCCGGTCTCCTCAGAGAACCTATTTTTATTATTACCGTAGTAGTAGTAGTAGTAGTAGTAGTAGTAGTAGTAGTAGTAGTAGTAGTAGTAGTGGTATGTATGTATGTCACTGTCATTTTATTTCTAGGCGATGGAAATGTAATATGCCTTTGTGACTTTTAAAAGGAATACTGACTATGATTAGAACATTTCAGCAGTGGGTGTAATGATGAAAAGTGTCCTTCCATAACTCACAGGTCTCACTATACAGGTAGGCGCACGTTTATTGTAAACAAACCAACTGATCATAGCAACGGTAACTATGTGGAGGTGGGAACAGCTTGTCGGCCGGGGCTGAGACTTGGACAGAGAGAACAGACAAGATCTATGTACACAGAGATCCAATTGTTAAACAAATGGGATCACCAAGGATATGATCAGTTATTATGCAGGTGGATAGAAATAGGTAATTCCATTCTGAAGATAGAAAAATATTACTATTGCAGTACAAAGTAACGGAAGAAGGCAAGGCCTGGCAGCAAAGGATCTCTATAACAACAAGTACAACAAAGCGGAGTGCAGGCTGTCATTCAGAAATGGCAGAAATGAAGAACTAATGTTCATTTATATTGTTGTATACATAGCATGGAAAGTCAGCCTGTAATAATGGATATTCAGATTCAGCAGAAGTCAGATGAGCAATTCAGTTTGACACCTGAAAACGTCCAGCGACCGGAAGCCATGTACTCTGTAGCAACCATCACAGACATTAATCGGTAACTCTATACATTTTTATTGTATTATCTTTTATTTATTTTGCTTGCTTTCCTTTTATTTGAATTTCATTTAAAGGGCAGATAATACATTTGTAAAAAAAATTATAACTCAAAAAACTATATCATACAGTGAGGAAAATGTGTTTTTTCTGGATTTTTGGATGATATTCTGTCTCTATCATTTAAAATACACCTATGATAAAAATGATAGACCTTTCATTTCTTTGTAAGTGGGCAAACCTACAAAATCTGCAAGGGATCAAATCATTCTTTTCCTCACTGTATATGTGACAAAGCACAAATTCAAATTCAAATCTCCATAAAGAAGAACTGGTGTGGCCAAATTGCGCAAATAGTGTGAGGGGCTTAAAGGGGCATGAAAATAAAACCTGAGCCTACCAGATGTATGCATGGCACACATGTGCATGCTACAGTCCATGTACCCACACAATATGTGTTAATTACTGTGCTAAAACAGGAGTCTCACAGACACATATATACATCAGCACGGGCAATTTAAAAAAATGAAATTCTTCTGTTACAGATTCTTTTCCCCACACAGAATATAGACAGAGATGATAGATCTAACACTTTAGTTGAGCCTACCTTAACCACTTGCTGACCGGGGTGTTTAGACCCCCTTCCTGGCCAGGCCATTTTTCAGTCTTCAGCGCTGCGGTACTTTGACTGACGTTTATTCCGTCATGCAACGCTGTACTGAAATGAATTTTATACCATTTTTTGGGGACATATACAGCTTTATTTTGGTGTTATTTAATGACCACTGGGATTTAAATTTTTTACTATATTCAGGAAAAATTACTGAAAATTTTGAAAAAAAAAGTATTTTTTACATTATGTTATAAAACATTTATTATTACCCCAATTTTTTGGTAAAATATAAGAGTCGGGGTCACGTCGGGTAAATAGACACCAAACATGTCAAGCTTAAAAATTGCGCACACCCGCGAAAAAAAACTAGCATACCCAAAATTGACCATAGGCGACGCTTTAAAAGCTTATACCGCTCATCAGTTTAGTGTTATCAGTGATTGATGGCCCTAAATACTGCTCTCACTGCAACGTTCGCGGCGATATGTAACATGTGCGGCGTAATGGGCGCAATCGTCGTTTTCGCAGGTATGCGCACCTGACGCATGTTTACATGCGTGTATGTAGGGATGGGGACTTTTAAAAAAAAAATTAATTCTTTTTTATGTGTAACATAACATTTTTTTTGTGGGGAAACGTTCATTTTTTTCCTATTTTTTTTTCCACTTAACTTTATTGCTATCACATAGGGGTCTAAGAAATCGCTGCCGGTTTTTAAATTTGGGTCTTTCCCGCTCGCGCGGTGTGCACGAGTGGGCAGGACTAACAGGCCGTGTATACACGGCCTCTTACATCCAGGAAGCTCCCGGCCGGCCTTTTATACACAAAGGCCGGCCGAGAGGTAGTTTAAAAAGAACCTAATTGAAATAGTGACTACTTAGCAACTATTGGGACTATAAACACTTTGGTCAAGAGTATGTAATGTACAACACAGCATAAAGAGTGCAGGGGTCAGCACTATGGAATGTACTGAGTGCAGGGGTCAGCATCAATCCGGCTTCCTGGCCAATCAAGAACCCGGGAGGCTGGTCATTACTCACCGGCTGGCTTCCTGTTTGGCTGGGAAGCCAGCTCCATGCTGTTTGGCCGGCTCGATGATGATTGGTTGGAAAGCCGGCTTCCCAGCCAATCAGGATGGGGCTGGCTGTTTGGCTGGCTCGATGCTGATTGGCCAAGAAGCTGGCTTCCCAGCCAATCAGCATGTAGCTGGCTTCCTGCTTGGCCAGGAAGCCGGCTCCATGCTGTTTGGTCGGCTCAATGCTGATTGGCTGCACTGCCATGTTCCCTCGCGGCACTGTCGGTCAGAGGAAATCTTCCTCTGACCAGAAGTTCTAGTATCGGGGAAGGTTTCAGAGCATTACTCGCCCAAATACTCGGTACCGGCATCCCGAGTGTCATCAATATTCACTAGAATCTCCAAATCACCAGAGCCTCATCCAGGCATTGTGTCTAGATAAAAATAGTACAGTGAAGTACTGTAGAGTATAATAAAAATAATGGAACATATAAAAGCACTCACATTTATCATGTAAATGGCATACATGTAATTGTGAAAGTAGCAGGTAGAGCTTTGCTGGTATCTTTATGGATAATCAGACTGAGAAGTAGTAGTGTAATGACATAATCAGGATACCATATATCACATTTATATACTTTATAATTTGTGATAATTTTTTTTTACAGCACTGTTCATTTGCAATTTTTTTGCTTGTTAGCATTTTTGTTTTGTTTTTGGTTGCATACACTTACTTTTTTTTTTTAGGTGAGGCGCGAAGCTTGTATGACATTTTCATTGTTTACAAGTGTTGTTAGATACACACTTTCACAGTATATTGGGATTACCAACATCATATAAGGCCACCCTGCCAATGAAGGGGGTGGTCTTTTAAAACTCAACTGCGTTGCTTATCCCTGGCAGCTGCAGGTATTCAACACTTTTGCATGTGTTGAGTACCTGCTCCCTCTGCCAGCTCCTACATCACTACAGAACAGGTGCGCAGGTATTCAACAAACCTGCCAATAGGAATGCACAGGTAGTAGGAAGGGGCAAGTAAGTTTTTGCACTATTAGAAAGTGTTGGAGCCTCTTAAAACTGGCTAGTGATAGGAAGGTTGAACCCCCATTTTTGTTGCTTCCAAGAAAGTAGAAAGCTGCTAATCACCAAAAACACAATACGTTTAATTGTTTCCTATTGTCAATTGATCTGTAACTTTCACAGACCAGTAATCAAACACCAGTAGTAATTTACAGCTGTAGAATGTCTTTTGCTGTAGAAAAGGTGGAGGTGGGATGAGGTATAGCATGGTCAGGTTCTCAAACTGCAGACTGCAATAACAAATGGCCCTGTCATATTTTATTAACTTTTTTAGTCCACAGCATTTTATAGCACATCTGCATGACTTAAAAACATGGTCTATGCTCCCCTTTTAAATTAGTCCACTACCGGATGTTTCCATATAAGCTTAGTGAATAGACCCCTATATATTAAAGCTTACACTTATGGCCATATCTTGGTGTTAATTCTTCCTATCCGTATCCCATAATCTGGAAAAGCAGGAAGTGAGAGGGAGATGCTTCAACATCAACCTCTCTTCCAGCACACAAAACAGGATCCTTCCATAGCTTGACAGGTAAAATGAAGAAAGAGTAGGGGAACAGGGCAGAGCTTCTCTTCAGAGAAAAGCCCAGGCAGAATGGTTTGAAGCTACAAAACTGCCTGAAGCCTTACAAGTTATAACCAATGAATCGAATACTGTAACAATTTAGGAAAGTATGAGATGTGCTGGGTGGCAGTAGTCCTCATTTAGCACCGGTTTTCTTCTGGTGTAAAAGCTCTACCCACTCCCCCATCGCTACTTTTCACCCCTTCTCTGCTCAGCCTGCAATGCTAGGGAAGAGGCCTATTCCGGGTACTATAAAAGAAAGAAGGTGTGGGTGCGCTTACCTCCTGAGGTTTTGTCATAATAGGGGATAGGTGTGCTGAGTGTATATTACATTATTCAAACTATCCCACTCTTTTCACTGTACTGTACATGACATATTTTAGTTTTTCTCACTTACTATATACTGTGCTATGTGTGACATTATCTAGACTGCACCACTCTGTTCACTGTGCTGCCTGTACTGTTCCTTTCTCTGTATGCTGTGCAGTAAATTGCATATAACAGATGGCCCTTTCCGCATGCTGTGCTCTACATTACATACTTAACATGGATATTAATAGAGAGAGGTTATTCACAATACTGAGGTTTTTAAATTCCACCCTGTTCCATAAATGTGCACACTGTTGCTAGTATAACTTAAAATGTAAGTGATATTATGTGCATTAGCCATAATGAAGTTTCATGGTACTGTACAACCCAGCTTCAGGTAAGGCTGTAATTGTTAGAATCTCTTTTGAAACATTTTCTTTTTTAATGCCCAGCGGGAAAGCATACCCAGTAGTTGTTTGGGACAGAATGTGTATATACAAAGAAAAATGGCCTACATTTAGATTGTTAAGATGGCCTATGTTTTTAAAAGGAAAATATAAAGGCCTAGGCTCAACTTTATTTTACTTTTTCTTTAAGCTCTATGTTTATATCTCAATTATTGTGACTTTATTCTGCAGACTAGTTCACTCACACATTCCTGAATTCACCAGGAGACACCCAATAATTCCCAAACGTTATGTGATGCCCTGGAAACAAGACATGGTCAACAGGAAGCTCATTCTAAGGGTAAGAAATGAAACAATCTATTCAAGACCGAGATTAAAATGCTAACGGTTTGTAAATACATTTATGTTTTCTGTGTAATAATGTAGATTGCCTTAACGCGTCCTATTCAATTGAACGGGCTGCCAACGCATCCTTGGATGTGGCCCTTTTTTTGTAACGCAACACAACTGCAAAATGAATAGCACTGCAATGCAGTAGTGCATGTTTCCTACAGGGCAACAACACATTAATGCAAATGGTTCCTCAGGGTTTCAACTTTTTGTATCATCACCCATAGGACTCATGTACACAGGCCTTTGTGTCAGTCTCAGCTACTTTCTTCCTCATACAAATGCACAGATATTTCAGAAGCAGCTCAATGCAACTTAGAAGCAGCTTGAAGCAATTCCATGAGTAACTGAAAGGCAAATCACATCAACTCACAAATGCAGATCAAATCAATTCTGAAGTACCTAGAAGCATACTGTTTTTTTTTTTTTTAACCAATTTCTGAGTCTAATGTCTATGTACAGCAACATAGGGGAAAATTTATCAAAACTGGAGCAAGCAAAATCTGAAGCAGTTGCCCATGGCAACCAATCAGCATCTCTCTTCAGTTTGTTCAGTTAAGATTTGAAAATGAAAGAGAGAAGCTGATTGGTTGCCATGCACAGCTACTTCAGATTTTGTTTGCTCCAGTTTTGATAAATTCCCCTCAGTATGTTATTTAGCATCTTAGAACATCAATAAATAAGATGCCCAGCTTTTCCCTCTATCATGGTACCAGGTGTACACAAAGCTGGTTTATCTTAAATTTGCAGGACGTAAGTCTTAAAGCTCCAAGCAGTCCGCTAAATTCACTATCAAAATACACATACATGAACTTTTTTTTTAGCTACCAACAAAATGCGCAATTGTGTTCAGCTAGTCTTGTGATTCAGGCACCACTGCCAGATGGCATCATCAGGACCCTGAGCTCAACTGCAACACACCTTGGTCATTAACAAAATACAACCCCGGACCGTGTATTGGAGGAAGATACAGAAGCACATTGATAAGTCACCATCACAACGCTCAGCCTGTGCAAAAGCAATGTGCCCAGAGCAAAATCAGAAATATTCATACTTACTCCTGGTCAGTGACACGGATAGTATTGAAGCCAAAGAATCAGAAGGACAGGCAGGCAACTAGCATTTTCAGAAAGAGAGGTCAGTGTCTGTATTTCTCTCATCTTGTTTCCTTAAAGGAGAACTATGGGGTCAGGGCTTTTCCCCATAGTTCTCCTTAGGGTAACGGGAGGACACAGACTAGTGTCCTCCCGTCACCCTAAGCTAAGTATACCACGAGCTGTAGCTCACGGCATACTGAGACGCCGCAGCTGAAGCGGATCCCGACAATTATGTCTGGATCCGCTCAGCTGCGTGAGTGACAGCTGGCTCTGCCTATCTAGAGGCAGAGCCAGCTGTACCCGCCCCCTCCGCCGTCCGTTCCGCCAGTCAGCGCTGGAGGATCGGAGCGGGGAGGGGGGAATCCAGCCCCTCCCCTGTCAGAGAGCCGTGATAGGATCGAGAGGTGTGCGAATGCCGGTATGTGTTCGCTCACCTCCCGATCTACTGAGCCGACCTGTGACACTCTCATTGTCACAGGGCGGCTAGAACTATGAGGTGAGTGAAAAGTACTCACCTCATAGTTCTCATTTAAGCATCACCTTTCCAAAATACACATACATAATACAATCATAGCTGACATTTCTTAGCCTTTTATTTGTAGTTTATGGATTGTTTCAAACCTGCAGCTGTACCGGAAATAAGAACCATGGAGGAGATGTGATTTCAGATTGGACTATACATATGAACTAGCTGACCTTGTGTCATTTTAGAGGTCTGCCCTGCTGTGCAGTGTGTTGTGAATTATAATCCTAAAGACAAAAGGTCTCTTGTCTGCATATGAACAGGGATACACAATGGTAGTAGTAAGGGCCAGCCAAAGCATTTGGAGAGCTTACTATCATTCTCTGATATATAGATGCCTTCCATATTTACTGCAGATATATGAATGTATAACACAGAAATAACTGAGCTGTTTCAGTCCATACGTGAACAACCTACATTGGGAACCTTTGGAGAAAGAACGATAAGATTGCAATTGAAATGTAACATTTTCATAGTATATATGTTATAAGCATCATACATATGTTACAAAGTAGGGCTAACCTATTTATTTTTATTTAGCCTTTTTACACTAGAGCAAGAAGAACTCCAATATAGAGGACTTTAGATTGTTTACCCAATGGATGTGATAAAATGTTTTATTGGAAAGAGGAAATGAACTGTAGTTTTGTGTATTCACTATATTCTTGGATTTCAGCGAATTTGACATATTTACTAAAAACATAGATTTTGTACATTTTTCATGTACCCACTGAATACGAAATTATAATATAGGGTCCCATATGATGTTTTTAGAAATAATTCTATAAATGACTTTTGTGTAGCAATAAAGTTAGATTACATCTTAATCAGTGAATGTTGTTTTGACTCTTACTCTGAAGATATATTGAGCATTGCTTTTTATTAGGTTATAGATGTAAGGTCTGTTCTGCTTTTGAACAAGCTTGTTTGTGTGTGATGTACTAACATCTAGTAGTACAATGCATGTGTTTTTTTTTCTTTTGTAAAATTTGAAACATAGTAGCAGTAGCTGCTCAGGGATGAGTTTGTTAGATTTCTATTTCTAGAAAGTATGACTGACAGTAAACCAACATACTGGGTGAACATGTATGTCATTCTCATGGTATTTTATCAGTTAATAAACGTCCATTTTGTCACTAATCCCAGACATGCCACATAACAAAGACAAGCAGCTCTGTAGTCCATCACGTGCTGTGCAGACAATGACCGTGCTAAGAACTGAAAAGACCCCTTCAGTAACATATGCTGCTTATTGACTGCACCCTGTGACAGCACTGTTATCAGTCATGCTGGCTTGGTAATTACTTTTCCCATTTCTAGTCTCTCAGAACAGGCTCATTAAAATTACATTATCATTAGATTAAAAGGGATTCATAATGCAATAATCTAAGCTAGGTATAATAATGTGTTAAGGTGGTCACAGACAGGCAGATGTCTCACCAAGAGTAACAAATTGTATGCTGCAGGGGCCTGCCATGCTCTGTATTAGCCATATCAATGCCTCCTCTCTTCCACAGAAAAGAGAAAAATCAGCAGTTTGCTGCCAAAAGATTTTCTAACATGTTGAAAAATCTAATTATGTGATAATGATAGCTTCCAATGACCTTTACCATGCCTCTACATGGCCCATTTGTTGATGCTCAGAATTGTTTATTGGGTTGTGTATGGCCAGACTGAATGTTGTCATGGCAGCCAGGAAGATTATGAAAATTATCTCTAATAACTGTTTTGTTTTTTTATTGTTAAGCATGCAGATCAATCTGGGGTGTTCAGAGGTCCCCAGGAGGAGAGCCTGTTTCTGGAGAACAAAGAAAGGTTGTGTCATGGAGAAGTTTGTCACATCCCCATGGAGAAGATGAAAATCCCATCAGAGAAGCAGCACACAAATTTACCCCTACACTCTCCTCTTTCTAGATACCAGACCTACGTGATTAACCAGAGAAGCCGTAATATTACTGACAAAAGGACCCTATCTCTTTCCCATGAGTGACTCAAAGAGCTCCACTTCCTGTAGACAGCATAAAAAACATCATCCAGTCCCTTTGTTACGTAGTCTGTGGTGATCAGAATCTTCCATTGTGTGTCTTCACGGGTTGCTTTTATTGGCTTTAAAATAAGTCAAATTCCGTTTCATTGTCATTCATTCTTTTGGTTACATAGTATATTATTGCACTATAACATATAGCAAAGTTCATAAAATAGTTGATATATACATTTACGTTTTTGCATAAAGTGAATTGTTTCAATAGAAATGTATATTTTCACATATACAAAAGACAATCATTGAACCATTTTCTTTTTCTTATAACTGAAATGAAATTTCCACTCATATAATATAGCTTGCTGTATACCCCAGCACCAAACACTTGCTGTATATTAGGGGAACAATGACTATTGCTCACAAAAATTCAGCACAGCATAATCTGGAGCCTGTAGAATTCAGCATGGTTGAGTGACATTGAAAAGTCCAACTCCAGCCAAAATGTTTTATTTTGGACTGAGCAGGGACTAGTTTGAGCCTCTCTCAAGTGGAGATTTCCTCTTCCCTACTGTCTGGAAAGAAAGTGATGGTAAATCTCTCCAATTTTAACAGACTAAGACACATTTTTTGTAAAGCGAGGAAGAGTTACAATCGAATGTATATGTTTTTTATTGCTGTCTGTGCTATCTCAGTGATGTCAGCACCCAAGGGCATCCCTAGATGTCTCACCGCCTGGGCGGGGTGTGCTCATGATGCATGTTCAGGGTGGTGGTGCTGTGGTTAGTTGTTCTTGGTGCATGGGAGGGCAAGATTTGGGGATGGCGGCTTGCGGTGGACATTTAGGGCTTGGGGAGGGGGGTGACTTGTGGTGCACATCATCCCACCTAGCTCATTGACATCACTGGTTGCCAGGAGCTGGGTGGGACACTGTCCAGAGCATCACAGGTTGCTAAGAGCTCTTAGCAACCTGGAATGCTGTGGCTGGAAAGGGGGTTGTAGGTTACTGCCCTCCTCACATGACCTGATGAAATGCCGCCTGAGGCAACCGCCTCAGGCTGCCTCATTACAAGGATGGCCGTGCCAGCACCCTCCATATTTCTTGTATGGGCATCACAGAGACATGCAGTGAGGAAAAATCTCCCCAATGGAATCCAGAAGAAAATAAAATCTTAAAGAAATGTAAACCCTTTCCTAGTCAATCCAAAACATTTTTTGTGGATTGAGGTTTGGAAGAAATACTCCACTTTTGCTGAAAAATAATCTTCCCTGGGTCAGTTATGTAACTTCCAAGGATTTTTATCAAACTTGTTTTCACACTCTTCCATGTTCCTCCTATGTGGAAAACTGGAAGACCTGCCTGCTATAGTCATATGGTCAGCCCATTGTATTAAGGCAAAAACTGCTGTGATTTAATCATATTGTTAGGAAATTACACTTCTGGATGTTGCCAGTGGGTTTTTTTTTGGTTTATTAGGTGCAATGATAATTCTTTTTATTATTCCAAAATATTTTTTAACTGGAAGTGAAAAGCTTTTAGGGGTCTATTCACGAAGCAGCCGAAGGATCTAGCCGTAGCTTCTGCCGATCCTTCGGCTAGCTTCGGCCCCAAGACCCCTTCGGTTCAGTAGAACCAAAGGGGTGCTGTAAGGGCTATTCACTATAGCCCGTACAGCTCCCGAACTTAGTCGAGCCGAAAGCATATGCCTCGGCTCGGCTGAGCAGCGCTGAAAGCCGAAGCTGGCCGAGCGGCCGGCCGACAGCCTGCTTCTGACAGCTGGGCGGAGCCAGCTGTGAACTTACGGCTGGCTCCGGCCACTTGCAGAGAGATCAGCGTCCCTGGTTACCAGCTAACCAGGGACACTGATCTCCAGACAGCCTAACTCTCCCTGGCGCTCCGGGAGTCTCCCACTCCCGGCCGCCAAGGAGAGAAACACTGCTTCTTTTTTTTTCTTATTCTGACACGGAGCCGTGTCAGAATAGAAATAAAATAAATGGTTCCAATCACGTGCTCAGCAGTGCATTGTCCATGTAAATATCTCTCTCCTATCCTCTGTTCATGTCTAACCTGTGTCTAAACCTTATAATGTCCCTGTAAATATCACTTACCCATTTGTGTCTCACTATTTCTCTCCTATATGTATACTGTATACTGTATGTAATGAGAGGCATGTAACAGAAAAAACATGAGCGTTTGCATGTGATAGAGAGGCATGAGACACTGCATGTACTAGAGAGTGATAAGCTGTTAATGATAATAGAGAGTCATGAGACATTGTAACACAGAGGGATGAGATACTGAGTGTAATAGAGAGGGATGTGGCACTGTATGTAATACAGTAGAACATGGCATGAAACGTACATGAGGCACTCCATGAACAACAGGGATTTCATGAGAGATGAAGTGCTGCATGTAGGAGATAGGAATTAGAAGCTTCTGTAAGTGGATAAGGTGCGCAGCATAGATGACAGCAATAAATCACCTATCATTTGTAATACAGAGGTGCAGTACTTTCATTGATGTGCCCGTTAGACATGAATAGGAGCCGCCAAAAACACATGCACAACACGTGTCAGATGTGCATAAATACATTCTAGTAATGTACAAACCGTCTGCAGCTAAAACTTGTTCAGTTGTGGACAGAGTGGGAAAGGGTAATCCGCACCACAGGTTGTAACTTGTGTCAGGATGTGTCCTCATTGGTGAGATTTTATATCACTAATAAGACAGAAACTTAAGAGAAAAATCCCAAATGACGACAATGACAAATGTAAAATAGCTGATGGAGCTTACAATGCTTCCCCACTCGATCTAAAACTGCAAAAAGAGGGGG